TATATATATATATATATATATATATATATATGTATATATATATATATGTATATGCATATGTATACATTCATACATACATACATATATATATATATATATACACACACACACATACATACATACATACATACAGGTATTGCTTGCTCACATAATTATTTCTAGGTAATATCCCACTGAACCTAGTAAGACTTACTTCTAAATAATTTGTGGAAGACAGAAGTGTTAGTTATCTAAGATCGATATACTTCTTAAGCATGGTTCATGCTTAAGAATGTTTCACTCTTGGATAATAATGTATGATCACAGTTCAGGGAACAATAGAAAACAAGAGCTTTAGTGTATTCTGTGAAAACTTTGCCTTTTTAAATAGGAGGTCACCACCATATTGTAGATCTGAATTTTTAATGATGGAATATTTGATCCAAATCCAAGAGTAAAACAAGGTTCTTTGCATTAGTTAATGTGGCATACTTTTGAGATGTAGAAGCTAAGCAGAATGATGTTGTTCCTTATGTGCAAAAAAAGAAAGTTACACTCATACACGCCAGCAAGCACTAAAGGAAGAAAATATTATTACCTATCTTTTAAATTTGGTTTGAAGGAGCATCTTCAGGAGAAGAATCCATCAAAAGCTAATATCAGTTTTGCATTTGCATGGCTAATGAAATCCTTAAGAGTAAAAGCTAAAGGTTTTTTCCCCTCTTGCACTTTAGTGTTCTGGTCATATAAACTTATGCAGTGAGAAACCTATACAATATATTATATATAATCTATAGAAACCTTTTGAAAGGTAGAAGACTTGGCAAGAAAGCAGTTTCACATTTGCCTCCCTGTCACTATTTATGCAGAAAATATGCTTATGATTTCATCTATGGGATAAATGAGGCAGTGTAATTCTTCATAGTGTTGATCTTGCACTATCTGGGGAAAAAACAGAGGCCATTATGAGTTGCACTGTATAAAAATTGAACAAAGGGATTAATGGAAATGACAAGACTCAAGAACTTTTATAATCTGGATGAGGAATATGTTTATTTAATTCTCACAGTGATTTCTATACAGTTTTTATATCCATTCAGTTGATATTTAGAAATAGTCCTCAAAAAGAACAAAGCATCAGGTCTGGGTTTTGAGTGAGCTCACTTTGGATGGTGACTGGTTGATTCTTTTGCTCTGTGTCCAGTTATCTTTTAACTTGATTTTCATGTTTCATCATGATTATTTTATTGATTGCTACCTTCCCAAAAGTTCATGTTGTTTGGATGGCCAGGTAAATAAATAAAATAGTACAAGTCTGTCTAGTTCAGGGGTGTCAAACTGGCGGCTCACGGGCCGAACTCATCACGTGCAGGCCACACCTACCCCAACTCCGCAAAGGGGAAACATCACATGGCGGCAATGTAATGCAGTGAGTTTGACACCCGTGGTCTAGTTGATTTCTTCTCCCAGTGCCCGTGTCCATATAGAAAATCAGCATTAAGTGCAAGGCTGACCTCCATCTAGATCTTCATCGTTTTCATTGTGGAGGAGCGAATGTTTCTATTGAATAGATTTCATTGTCAACTAACCTATTCAATAGAAACATTCATTCAGAATAATATTCTTAAGGCCTCTATATTAATTCTAGAATGCCTCAGTGTGTCAATGTTTCTCCTTTTAATAATTGATGCTTTTTAAAAATTGTTTATGGACTGGATAATACATATCAGGGAGAACTGAAATGCACCACCTTGAAATGTAAAGTAGAAAAAATGATGGCTCGGTTGACGGAGTGCTGGAAGCGCTACTTGTCTCTTCAGGGGTGGCTTATTGTTAATTTTCATGGCTTTGGACGATTTGCTGTATGTCTTTCCATGATAATGGTTGTCATGTTTAAAAATATTCGTAGAGTAATTAAATTATACATGTAATAGATGACAAGTGAGCTTTAAACACATGTTTCAGAGATAAAATGGCCTAAGATTTCAAACCTTGTCCAATGCTTTATCCTTGGGCAAAGTTTTAATTCAAATATTGCACATGGAGAAAGGTTTTATAGAACTTGTACTGTCATTTAAAAAAATTAAATATCGATTGAAATAAAAAGGCATGTAATTTTCATGGTGGCTTCCTATTCTCTTCCAGAAACGGCAGTAAAATTCCTGGAAAGAATAGCTTCTGAACTTGGTCTACAGTGTCTGAAAGTAGAGGTAAAATAATGAGAAACCCTTGCACTTATTTCGGATTCTGTCACTTTCTGATTTGTTGCTGCATGGCCTCTTTGCGCTCATAATTTCGGAAGAAAATCAGCTTCTTTTATCTTAGTCATTCAGGTTTAAACTTTTGAGATAAAGGATTTAAGAAAATAAAACTTCACCAGCATATAGTATTATTGATAGCAAGATAGAAGTGATTTGTTATTGCTTTCTGCAAGGATGGTTGTCAGAGGTGCGGTGGGAGAAGGATTTCCCTGTCTAACATTATCAGGAAATCCCCCATTAAAGTTCTATGCAAATCTAATCTAATTTATTTTTAGCTTATAAAAATGTCAGCTAGACCCTGCTATCTGCTGAGTCAAAGTAAAGGAATACTGTCTCTCATATATATATATTACTGCTACAGCTCAGGATTTCAATTTCATTCCATTGTTAAAATAGATATAATGGTACATTGGGGCAATTTTTGTTTGGCCAATTTTTCAAAGAGATATTTCTGTGCATTGTTTAGCTAATGTTGTTTTACTCTGTCAACTGAGTTAAGAATAAGGAATAAGGTGGAATTCATTTCAAATTAGGAGGAAAAAAACTGTAAATGATTTTAACAAAGTTCAGTAACATAGGCTAAGGGCTTGTTAACTAGAAACATGTTTAAAAAATAGTGACCCGAACATCTATCCAAATTAAACTCTTTAATAGCATATACTAATTATCCACAGGATAAAATGGACAATTGGTGGAATTTTCATTTTTGCAACATCCTCTTCAAATGTTTTTGCTGTTCTCATCTGTTTCTTTTCTTTTCAGAGTTGCGTAAAGTCTTATTTCCTGTATAGTTGCAAGCCACATACCCATCTTACAATTACATGTGTGATAGAAATGCAAAGATACAGACATGCAGTCAGTAGATCAGTTTACATATCTGTTTTCCATGAAATCTGCATGCGTCAATCAAAGAGAATAAATTCATGCTGCTAGAATTAGTCCAGGCAGTTGCGTCATTCACATGTAATTGTCTAGGGTTACAGCAGTGGTGTCTGTACAAAGCATATTATTGAGATAGTGATCATTATTCCAAATCATTTGGATCAAGTCATTTACTAGCTATAGTGTTAGCTGCCTACTTAAGCAGTGTATAGGTTTATAGGGGAAATGGCTATCCAAGTTTGTTAGTCTTAATAATTCTATCTTACTTCTAATTTCAAAGACAATGTATTTAAATATCAGTTACTGGGGACCAATAATCCTCCTGTCCTGCTTGTAAATCTACGAGCACGAGCAAACCAGTAGCCCCGGTATTTGCAACCCACCTCTGTCCATAAACATCATGTAACTGATTTGATGGCCTCACATACCAGAACCTAGTTATGAGGATGAAAATGAGCTGATAATACAAACAAGGATCCATTTAGGTTAGTTTAACCATCTTGGCCAAAAAGCAAAATAGAGATGTAGTAAGAGTTCCACTGCCAGGGTTTTTAAAATTGATTTTTAATTTTGATTAATTAGGGTCCATTGAATGCTCCTTTTGATTAATTAGGATTCCTGGCATGAAGATAATTGATTCAGACTTACTATCAAGTGTCTGATTGAATCATACTATGGTATGTTTTAGATTGTTTATAGTCTATAGTAAACCTGTTGGAGCTGTGATCCTTTGAAGAGCCTGCTCTCCAGTTAATCTGTTATTACAGGTTCTATATCCAATAACCCAGCCTGACCTTTTCAGCTTTATGTGCTGCATTTAGACTGATACGTGTTACAAATGAATGCTATGGAAAATGTTTTTACTAGGAGTAGGCAAGAAATATCATTTTGCTAGGCTGTTCTCTTATGTATGTCCCCAGGTTGACAGAGCTGAAAGTGTTAAAATGCTCCTATGCAAATAAATCATTTCAAGAACTGGAACTTGCCTTTCTTTCAATATTTATGGTAATCAGAACCAGTTTTATAAAACTGAATTGACTTCCAGCCTGTTTGAGTTTCCCATGCCGTTTTGAGTTGCTATGGGCTCCCTCTAATGACATCTGGATTTTCTCTAAACAGAAAACTAAAATTGAGAAGTGGTAAACGGATCTTGATTATATGGTACTTTGGAGTTGCCTGAAGAGACAATAGAAAAAGAAGGCATGTCTGTCTGAAAAATCATTTTGTACTTTCTTTTACAGTTACTTATGTCTGCAAAACAGTTTTGTATGTATAAATATTATATGCAGTGATTATTGCTTTCACTTTCTGTGTCTGTACTTCTGCTATTGTTTTCAGTGTCTGGATTCACATAGCATGCTAAGCCATAATGATACGGTGTTGAGCAAGATGCTGGGCTAGACATAAGTTATCTAGCAAAAGTGACTATCATACAAGTCAGGATTTCAGCAATGAAACTGTGAAATTCTTAGCAATCGTGCTGTCTGCTTTTTTAAATTAAATTTAATAAAAGTATTTTGCCATTTTCTTAGAATAAATAATATAACTTTTCAAATTCAAAATGTATTTTATAAAATTGTCTTCTCCCCATGAAATATATAGCGTGTACTGACTGAAAACTACACAAAGTGAGTCCTATTTTCCAAAGTGACACAAAGAAGATGTAATGTTCTGTTGCAGGTCTGCCCTGATCGTGTGATCACCATTCTGACTTGGAGAGGCACAAACCCACAACTCAGCTCCATCTTACTGAATTCTCATACAGACGTTGTTCCCGTGTTTGAGGTTAGGAGATCACACTGGGGATTCAGTAGCAACTTCAACCTTGCTGGAAAAGAGAGTCGGGGGATGATTAGGTTCTTTCTTCAAAATAACTTGCAAAAGCCAGGAAACATTATTCCAGGGGAGAAGTGTTGGATCTTATCTTTCTCTTTGCTATTCCTTGTTTTAATTTACAGGTAGTCCTTGGCTTGTGATCATATGTTTAGCGACCTTTTAAAGTTCCAGCGACACTGAAAAAAGTTACTTATGACTGGTCCTTGCACTTAAAATTAACGCAACACTTCCATGATCACGTTATCGTGATCCAAGCATTTTTGCAACTGGCTTGCATTTATAATAGTTGCAGCCATGTGACCACCATTTGCCTTCCACCACTTTCCATCCAGCTTTTGACAATCAAGGTCAATGGGGAATTTGGAAGGGAAGATCGCAAATTGAGATCATGTAATGTCTCTGTGATTGTGGTGATTCACTTAAGGACCACGGCAAAAAAAATCATAAAATTGGGTATGGTCACTTGATTTCTCACTTAACTACTTCAGTACTACTACTACTTAAACAATGAATTCATGGTTCCAAGTGTGGTCGTAAGCCGAGGACTACAACTGTAGTTGTAGTGCAGTGGTTAGAATGCAGTGTTGCAGGCTAACTCTGCCAACTGCCAGCAGTTCAATTCTCACCAGGCTCAAGGTTGACTCAGCCTTCCATCCTTCCGAGGTGGGTAAAATGAGGAACCAGATTGGTAGGGGACAATATGCTGTCTCTGTAAACTGCTTAGAGAAGGGTGTAAAGCATTGTGAAGTGGTATATAAGTCTTAAGTGCTATTGCTACCTATACACAAGATACAGATTATACTGCTTTTATGATGTGATGAAAATTCAGGCCATTAATAGTGCATGAAAATTCCTTTCGTCTCTGGAAATGAAAAGATGAGTTACACAATGAATCTCATAATTTTTCAATCAAGGTTCAATCTGCACTTTGTAACATTTTCAGTTCTGAGATTTGTAGGAATAGAAACAATATGGGGAAAAATAAAAATCTTATTAACTAGTGGTTGTTTAATAAAGACATTTTATTTTACTGTGGATATTTGCAAAGAAAAAAAATAGTTGTTTGGTATATCTGTCTATAATATTGCAACTCCTCATAATAACAATGGAGTAAAGAGAAATCAAACAACTTGCTTATTTATGTACTTACTATCGGAGCAGTAAACTGATATTGCTCATATAAGGATTCAAGATGGCTTACAACAATAATTATGGGAATAATTATTAACAATTATTGGCTTTCAAATAGCAAACAAAATGATGATGGGTGTAAGCCAAGAGCATATCTATATTTTTCAGTAACTAGAAGTATATCCTAGAATGGAAAGAATGGATAGGTGTCATGTAGCCTCCACTAAGTGGATTTTTTTTCCACTTCACATTGTTTACAAAGCAATCTACACGACTGACAACATTTTGGCATTATGTCAATTTGTATAATTATCCAAGTAACATACATTATCTCAGTTACATAAATTTGCATTTAATGGACTAAATAGACATTCATTCTGTGAATGAAGGCAAATAAATATACACATCCCAGGATAATGTTGCAGGATCCAATCTGGGTCTCTCATTAGGACCAGAAGTTTGTTCTTCCAAGCTTTTGGACTCATACTGTTCCCTGAGGATGGGCTCCAGCACAAGTCTGAAAGCTGGAGGAACAAACTTCTGGTCTCAGTGACCAACTCAGATTGGATCTTGCAGACATTCATTCCCTTCATTGGTGGGTTAAGAATGTTTCTACGGAGACATTTTAGATAAAAGAAATATAATAAGGAAAGAAAATAAAAATGGGTATACTTGCTTAGTTTCAGTGGAAAGAAGAGCATAAAGGGCTATACTTTAGTCCCCGATTCTTTCGCATCCTAAGTTTGTCCTCAGAAGGAAGATTGATGTTTCTCTCATCTATTCTGAAATATTCCAAAATATTAAGATTTGAGCAAAAAGAAAAGCAGCTGATGACTGATTAAGTCATTCTAGGGATTTCCAGAACTCCTCGCTGAAACATGGTTTGGAATATAGTACAAACATAGGATATAAAAACATTGTGCTTTAGATACTGACTACTCCAAAGGAAAATACAAGCACAAGAAAGGAAGCTTAGGGGAACAAGATAAGAAAGTAATATCACTTACATGTGTACTTACGTTTAGCACATTCTCCTGAAATAGTTAAGACCAACACTTTAGGCTGGTGCATAATCTACTGGAGGAATAAATAAAAAACCCAACAATTCAAGAAAAAATGTCATAGCTTTCTTTCCAACTATGAGTCTGACTCTAAAATTGTGGCCCATAAGCAGTATATTTGTTCCAGGCAAATCTTATGAGCTTGTATTACAGTTGTAACACTGTAGTGGAAAATTGCTACAAAACAACTACTCCATAGTTGCTGAGATTTTATTGTGGTATAAATAAAAATAGAAACTGCCATTCAGTGCAGCGAATGAGTTAGCATAAAACCTCTGGGTTATTTTTTTTTTAAGTGGTTCTGAAAGAGGAAGTTCTGTGAAATGTTAATGTAAATCCAGAAAGCTCCAGTAACATTTGAGACTGGATGATGGAGAGTACTAAATGAAGCTCCCAGCTTTAATTAAATTACCATAGCAGATTTACAGCCTCACCAATTTTTGGTAATGATAAAAGGAGGCAATTAACATGATGCCTTCATGATTATTTTGCTCCTGGTTAGCTTGCAGCTTCCATGCTTTGCAACATTTCCCAGAAAAACTACTTCCTCACACAAACAGAGAATCCAAAAAAGCACCTTTCCAAAAGTCATCCTTGCTGAACTCAGAAGCAGGTTTTTCAAAGGTTTCCTAATTTCTCACGTTAGGAAAGTGTAAGTTTATGTAGATTTCTTCCCAGTATTGTAGCGTGTCTCCGAAAACAGTCAGGCTTTTCCTTCAATGTCTTAGCAGGCTGCCATAAGGGCAAGGCCTCATTTCTCATCAATTCACATTTTTCTAATTGTTTCATTTTCTTTCCTGTAGGAATATTGGCAGTATGATCCTTTTTCAGCTTTCAAGGACTCTGAGGGAAATATCTATGGACGGGGAGCTCAAGATATGAAATGTGTATCCATCCAGTACGTGTAACCCATCTTGTCTTTCCATTTATGTTCTAGAACAGGGGTGTAAAACTCTGGGCTATCACATTGTTGTCACATGATATATCATGACTTTTCTTCCCTTCACTAAAATGGGGTGGGTGGGCGGCCAGCGTGTGACGTAACCGGCTTGTGGGTCCTGAGTTTGATACCCATGTTCTAGACAGTACAAAAGACATTTATTTAATAAGGAAATCTAATTCAACGTTTTGTCTTGAAAAATGATGGAAGTGAAGGGATGTGACCAAGGGAATAATTCGTGCAAAGAGCATTTTAGTTATAACTGTGAAAGTATTAGAAATCAATATATAACTTGATTTGTTAATCCTGTCTGTTTTGATTCTGTCCTATTGTTTGTTTGTTTGTTTGTGTATTAGTTTATTTATTGAATTTATATTGCCGCCTATTCGCCCATGGCGACTCAAGGTGGCTTACAGAATAAAAGACTACATTTAAAACAATAAAAACTAACAAAAAGAACCAAATAAATTAATATAGTACAATGTAACAAAATCACCCCCCCTGCCTCCCACCCACCCCCTGGCGACAGCAGATCACATGAGCCATTTAATGGGCTCCATCCCGCTCTGGGTTCCCCAGGCTCGCTAGCAGAACCAGGTCTTTAGCCCCTTCTGAAAGAGTATTAGAGTGGGGGGCATTCTAATTTCAGGGAGAGGGGAATGATGTTCCAGAGAGAGGGAGCCACCATGGAAAAGGCCCTTCTTCTGGATCCCATCAGGTGTATCTCCCTCGGGGATGAGATCTGCAACATTCCCTGTCTCCCTGCTCTGATTATACCCTGTTGTTTCATAGTGACAACATAGATCAGGGGTGGGCAATTAATTTTTCCAAGGGACTGTTATGAAGGGCCGAACAAAAAAGCTGTGAAGATATATAGGCAGGGACGCATGGACATGTGTAAATTGAAAAAAAAAGATATAGTTGCTTTCAAAATAAAAGCAATGCACTTGTATTGAGTGCATAATGTAAGTGAGAACAGTCTACTGGGCCTCTAGCAGCCCAAGAGGAACTAGTCTACCTGTATTTGAAGCATGAGAGGGGCTTGCCTGCCACTCTTGCTGAGACAGTTAACTTCCCCCTCTGGTACTTCTGGCAGTTAAGCCTATTTAATTTCCCATTTATAAGAGCCAGACAGAGATAACCAAAGGGCTGGATGTGGCCTGGAGTCCATAAAATGCCCAGGTCTGATATAGACTTTCTCCATGATAACCTGTCCCTCACCTACTCCTTCAAGTCATTCATAAACTTTGAAACTGAGTACGTCCATCTTGGTGTTGATTGTTCTTTTCTTCTTTTTCCTTCCACCTGTAACTGACTGCCTATCAACATAAAGCTGATCAATATTACCCCATTTGCTGTGGCTTAATGCTGTATTTTAAAGATCAGCTGCTTTATATAAATACAAAATACATTGTATTCTTTTTGTCCCTTATCTTACTTTCCCTTTTTTCTCTTTGTTTTTATTCTTATATCTTTTTTTCTTTGTTTCTGTTTATAAATGCAATTACATAAAAATGTAAAAATGGTATTTCATTGGCCAAAAAAACTAGCAAGCTGGAATAGACAGGACCTGGTTAATTCTTGCAAGCAGAAAATAGGTGCCTTGTATATGAACATCTGACTCTGCTTTGCCCTCCAAGGCATGTTTTAGAATTCAGGGAGTTTTGATCCAGACTCCAGCTAAGTGCTTGCTCCTTTCCAGTATCCAGTATCCATCATCAACACACACATTCCTTTTCCTTAAAAAAAAGCTATATTACCTTTTTAATGAGCCACTAAATAAGGCATTTTTTTTCCAGATACCTAGAAGCCATACGGAGACTGAAAGCTGAAGGAAGACATTTTCCACGAACCATTCATATGAGCTTTGTCCCAGGCGAGTTAAATAATGGGCACATAGTATAATTGGGTGTCTCCTAGTTTTTGCTCAAACTGATAGATCATAGAAGCCAAAAAATGGCAACTCAACACCATAGGGTTCACTCTGCTTTCATGTGCAAAGGGGCCTCAACTAATAGTCTGCTGAGGACATATTCTCACAACAGAGCATCTCTTGTGTGTCCATTCAGCAGCAGACCAAAGACAAGCTAAGGTGCTCTGGTATGAAAATAATGTTATGCTTGGCAGAAAATTTCCCATGTGGACATTCTAGGATATGTGGAAATCAATCGTCTACTAGCTTCTGTTGTTGCTCCAGAATTGCCCTGTCCCAACTGGCTGGTGTTTCATGTCTTCTGCCATTCTTGCCATACTAACACACATTTTTTCTGTGTTCTTATTGTTCAAACATGGGAGCATGTTTTGGGTCTCCCACAAGATAAGCATTTCCATTGAGATGCAAAACTAAAATCTTCGTACGTGGAAGCCCCCTTGTGCCCAAGAGCTTTCCTTCATCTTGGAGCTTCTCTTTTTCCAAATCAAGAGTCACACGCTGGTTTTTAAAAGTTCTGTCTGCAAGAATACCCAGCAATTGTTGCATATATAGCTAAGGTTTTAAAAACCATTGCATGATTTTCAGAGCCCAGATAATAATTTTAAAGGGTTGAAGCTTGTGATTCTAAGCATGCAGTGCTGTGTTAAAAGTGTAATTCAATAAAAAGGGCTTTCAGAGATACTCAAAGCAACTGTTCCAAGAAGCATCAGAGCCAGCTGGAGCAGAGGTACAAGGACAGCAATCGGCAATTCATTTTTCCTAATAGATAATTCTGTGTGGAAGGGAAAAGGAGAAGAAATACTCCTCCAACCACAGCTCTGAAACCTTTGTAGGCTGTCATATTTTTGACTTGAGGACAGAAGCCATTACTGTGGATGTGAGGAAGAGTTTTACTTAGGAGTGGTGATGTTATTTCCCTAGGCAAATGAGATGCAAGCTAAGTTGCCTAGTAAAACCCTCAGAAACCAACAAAGTAAACATTTTCAGTATGGATTTGCAACAGAATATTTTCAGTATATTGTTTTGGAAGAAAAGCACAGATTTCATTTCTGCAGCAAAATCTCAAAACCACATATTTATCACTGTTGGTTAGACAACATGGGGAGATTAAGTAAAACATATAAATACAAGAAAATATTAGTAGCTCAAGGTTGAACTTTTACAGATCACTCACACATCTTCCAGCAAAATGAATAACCACACAATTTTATCAAAAAGTCCTGGTCATTTAACACACTATAATTCAACCAACACAAGCTATTAAAAAAACAGCACTACCATACATAAAAAACCTAACAAACTATTGCTACAACATAGCATCCCCATAGCCCACAAACCAACTAAAACTTCTAATTTCTAAAACATCGTAACTAAACCAAAAGACCTATGGTAGGAGCTCCAAAAGAAAGAAAAAAACAGGAGTTATCTACAATATACAGTATAAGCGCTGTTCCAGCCACTATGTAGGACAGACAGGCAGAAGACTAGCAGAGTGCATCCATGAACATTAACTAGCATTCAGAAGACATGATGAAAATTCCTTAATTTCACAACATATGGACAGATCTAACCATAGTTTCAACAGATGAACTGTGAGTTACCTAGACCAAGCTAAATCCAATATGCTGGAGAATTCCATGAAAGCCTAGGACTCAAACAAATCAGTGAAAGGGTAAGCCACAGCATATATACAGGGAGCAAACCCCACTTCCTTCTAGCACTGAAGATGTTACCTAATTGTGTAATGAAACATCTGCAAGAAAACAAACTCAGCATCAAGGACTCTATAAAACATACATGTTTGATATCAGGAGACAAATCTATATTTAGGAATGGGGAATATGTAAAGAATGAAAGACAAACAATTAGTCAAAATTTCATCACAAGGCTGATTAGCTGTTTTTATTACTAATTTGTAATGTTAAGATTAAAATTCACACCTCCCACCCCCCCAAACTGTAGCAGTTGTTTCCTTTAATACTTCTATCAAATCATAAATGATAGCTTAAATAACTCTGTAACTATTGGTATACCAAACCTCTCTGTTTAGTGTCCATATTTCCTCTCAGTAACCATAGAAGAATGATAACTCTTGATTTCCTCCCTGGGAGGCTACTTGTTCCACAGATAACCCCAGTAGCAGTAGCTGGGTGGAATGAGAAATTTCTGATGGTGGTGATGGATTTCTTTAGCCAAAGAAAGAGAATATTTACTGATAGAGTTCTCATCACCTTTTGCTGCAGGACTATCTTTGGATCATACTAGATGGCATGTGGAGAAGATAATTAAATTCAGAAGTAGATACAACACCATCACAATGCCATTTTTAAAAATGATAATAATAATTTTAAAAAAATCACAGTGCCTCCAAATTTTCATTAGGACCCAGTATAGGGGAAGAGAGACTAATCCTTTACCTTGACACAGTTTCTTTGACAATTCATCCCATCTGTGATCAACCAGAATATTACTAGGGTGTGTTATACTCTGCTCCAGGGCTTATAGAATAATGGGGGCGGGGGGGGGAATTAATTGAAGAATAACACAGAGGCCTTTGAGCAAATAGATGATTTGGAATCTTTTTGCAGTTCTTCTAAGGTGGATCTGCTCTGTTCTTTTGTTACATTCCAGTGAAACTGCACTTGTGGCCTCAAATTTAATGCAATGTAATGTCCCCTTAAACAGAGTGATTGCTTTCCTGATTAATAGCAGGAAACAATTAGTGCATTACAAATTTTGGGACAGACACACAAAAAAGCTGATGAATGGATTTTGGAGAAAAAGCAATTTTTGTTCTTTGTGGGCTATGCCAGTACAAAGAGAGGAGGCCCCCTGCGTGCCAGATTGCAAAGCACAAAAGCTCCCTTGGATCCTAGTGGGGACTCTGCACTGTAATTAGCTCTTCAAATATTTCCCCTCTGAAATGCTGGTTTGGGGATCAAAGCAAAAGTAACTGACTGGGCTTTCTTTTTTCCTGCAGATGAAGAGATTGGGGGCCACAAGGGGATGGAACTGTTTGTGAAGACTCCTGAGTTTGCGGCGCTTAATGTTGGCTTTGCCCTGGATGAAGGTGAAAATCCATAGTATGGCATTTGGAAAGCAATATTGGAATTGAAAAATATGAAGTAACTGAAATCATGATCCTTTTTTTTCTTAATAAAATTATTCTTTGTGATTACTTAGTTTCCTTCTCAAAGCTGTATGACTATAGGTTTGTTGTCTCAGAAGGAAGGTCTATGCAGCCTTGGTGCAGATTCTTTACTTAATAATGATGATGATGATGTCCACCCCTACCTGAATACAAAGCCAGTTAGTTGATGCTATAATCCTGCTAGCCAAAATGTTTTGAAGAAAGGCTCCTCTATATTTGAATGGCATTTGTTAATTTATGATTATTGTTTTGTTTTCTCCTAGGCCTGGCAAACCCAACTGACACTTTCACTGTATTCTATGGCGAGAAATGCCCATGGTGTAAGTAAGATCCGAAACATTCTACTTCCTCTCATCTGTTTTCATTTTAATCTGCATCATCCTAAAATCTATACTGAAAACCATCTGCCGTATCTCCACCACACATAATGCATGAATTCTTTTGAACAGTTTTTGGAGTTTTGTCAGTTTTATGTCTACTGTAAAAAAAAATTTGTTAGTTGCAGCTGTATTTCTTTGCCACACCGGTTTTCACTCTGTAGAACTGTAGTCACAGTTACATCACTGGATTGATGTAGAATTTTAGACCTCCCCTGATGCCTGTTGTTTTATAGTTTGGAATTTCAATAAAGGCATTATGAAACTTTCTGATATTTTATAGTATATGCCTGCAATTTAATTTAATGCAAATGTTGAAATCTGATTCTCTGAAAACTCAAAAGTACTGCAGTTAATGTTGGCAACTAAATCTAGTTATTAGCCTTTACTCTGTGTGTGTATGGTGTGTGTGTGCATTTATAAATCATGTTTATTATATTCTATTTTATTATAGAAGATATGCATTATCTTTCCCCCAAATTTTATTTATAAATTACAAGAAAATATGTAAAATGTAAATACATTTTTAAAAAGCAACAAAAAGAACATACACAATTAACAAGATAATCTTCAAATATAAAAAGAGAAAAAGATTAATAGAAATTAAAAAAAATTAAAAATAGAACATTTTTGTTTCTCTTCAAAAGGTATATGAATTATGGTTAGGAGGTAGACTTTAATGGATCATTTTGTTGCCATTTCCAATGTGCAGAAGCAAACCTCTTCTTTTATTAAAGTTGCTGATTTGTTTGAAACAAGAATATATCTGTTAATTATAGTTGTGTCCTTCAGTGCATTGTAACTTCTTTGGAACATGGCACACTTTCAGGTGAAAAAGAAAGATATATCATGTATATACACTATTAAAATGTGTTAATCTTTGGGATCTAGTTTTAAATAATCTCTTCCCCCCCCCTCTCTTGTATACACATTAATGGCAATTATATCAAATACCTGCTGTATCTTGGGAATTGTACACTGTATCAATGCACTAGGAACCATAGAGTTATTTTGGTTCACGCTTGTATTTAACAGGAAGAAATACTGAGGATAACTGATTAACTCAGAGTTAGTTTGCAAATTATTTTAAGTTTTTTTCTCATTATATTAATAGTAATCAATCTTAAACAAACTACCAGGAGACTGATATACTTTTTAACTGCACCCATTCTTGCTGTGGTAGTTAAATCGTGTAACTGTTTGGCTTTCTTTGCTTTACTTTATTTTTATTTTTACATTTACATTTTTTTCTAATGACCTCAGGGATTAAAGTGAAAGTAGAAGGGAATCCGGGACATGGATCCAGATTCATTGAAAATACAGCTGCTGAAAAGATGGTAAGAGACCATTCTCTATAATATATAGGACCAAGGAAGGTTGGGAAGTAGAACTACTTATTCGTATCAGCATGTAAAATCAAATCAACATAGAAAATCAAATCAGACACTTTATATAAACTGGCTGTTGTGCTGGCTGTAATGTGCAGTTTAGAGTAGGATTATCAAACTGCAGTACTCAGATTTCATTAGGCCATAACAGTTGATTATGAAATTCATCCAGGAAACCTCTATGGTCAGATGTTATGAATGTTGTAGCCCATCAGTTTCTAGAGAGACAAAGGATGCCTATTTTTTGGTTTACAAAGATTTGTTTCCATTTTATCATAATTTGCTAAAAGAGGTATAATCCCATCTTGCCCAGAAGCTGACACTAAAGGCAGTCCCGTAGAAGCACTGACAGTGAGGCGAATGCTTATCATTGCATTTACTTTTGATTTTCCTGTTCATAGCACAGAGTGATCACTTCTTTCCTAGAATTCAGAGAACATGAAAAGCAAAGGTAAGAAATACAAAAAGGTGAAGTCTATCAAGATAGGGAAAGGCAACGCCTGACCTTTATGACTGAATAACGGCATTTTCCCTTTCTGTGTATTTTTTTATAAAAATACAATAAAAGAAGAGGGTTTGGCATGGCTTTCATAGACTGTATCCTAGTACATGAAATATACAAAGTGATCCAGCACCACTCTCCCAATCTTTTATTAAAAATAGATTGCTATCACAAGTGTCCATTTGAACCTTCAGCCGTGATATGGAAAACAATTCAGATTTTTTTTCTACAACTGGACTGAAAGATATGGGTGACATATTTCTCTCATTGCCCTTTGATTCTCTAAAATGGATCTGGGAGTTTTTCATTTTAAGGATGAAGAGGGTGAGTAATGAGTTGCAGAGCCCAGCTCTGCCATAACTCTACTCTGAGATAAAATTCACAAAATAATTTCACAAAACCTATCCTTGCCTTCATATATAATACTATATATAATGATGCACATCAGAAATTCTTAAGAATTGTGCAAAGTGAAGCACTTTAAAGAGATGCTTTGTAAATCCAGAATGGCATTATATTCACAAAGGACATTTAATTTTTAAAATTATCTGTCTGATAACATTTGTTATTATATTGTTGGATGTTACACTGTCTACCATTTGTGGTGTATTAACAGCAAATACTCAGAAATATGGCTGGGTCCACTTGTAGGAGCGACTCTCACAACACTAGAATGTGATTGGTTAGAATCTGAGAACTTTGAGCAACACGTCTGAGATTAAATTAATGCATGTAACAATTCTGATAAATGCAGGGATGCTTTACTGTGATGGCATTTGTACTGCCAAGTTATGTTTTGCATGTATGTTTTTAAGATAATGTATAAATTACAGAATCAGGTATCTTTGCAATGTTTGTTGGGCAGTGATTCCTATAAATATTTGGGCAGGTGATCACATGGTCTTCCACATGTCTTTTCTTCATTCTCAGGGATTTAGCAATGAATTTATTTAAACATTTCAAAGAAACTGTATAATTTTTTTGTTCTTTCTCACAGATTGAAAACAGAAGGACATCTCACTTTAGGAGATGTAACATCCGTGAACCTGACCATGTTGAATGGAGGCGTATCATTCAATGTGGTCCCCTCTGAGCTCTCTGTTGCCTTTGACATCCGACTCCCTCCCACAGAGGACTTAAAGGTACAGAGAAGAAGAAGGTTATCAGTTTTCACTCCATAAAGATTTGCCTTGAATCTCTCACCATAACTGGCCATAGAATGTATTAACTCTTCCCACCTATGCTAGAAACAGCAACAGGAATGGAATGGAATGAGTTGGAAGGAACCTTGGAGGTCTTCTAGTCCAACCCATGCTTAGGCAGGAAACCCTATACCATTTCAGACATTATTATTTATTATAAAATGAATGTACAGAAGTTATTTGCAAGTAGTTATGGGCATATCTTGTTATGCCCATGTAATACCACTATTTGATGAACTACACTGGTGCAATTCAAGCTGCTAGTTCTTATTTTTTAAAGCCCTATGTGGCATAGGATTGGATCACTTCTCCTAAGAACATGTCCCTATGCCACATTCTCTCACAAGGAGGACATGCTCCAGGTTCCTTCTTTTTAAATCTTGTCATTTTCAGGACTTAGAAAGACTGCCATCTTTTGTGTTTAGCCCTAGAAGTATCTCCCCTCCCCCCATGTATGGCAGCCCCCAACCTTTCTCGCCTTTAAGAAAACCATTAAGACCTGGCTCTTCCCTTAGGCATTTGGGGCTAGCTGTGTGGGAGTTCCCCTGTGGTAATATCAATAGCAGTAGACTTATATACCGCTTCATAGGCCTTTCAGGCCTCTCTAAGCGGTTTACAGAGAGTCAGCATATTGCCCCCAACAATCTGGGTCCTCATTTTACCCACCTCGGAAGGATGGGCTTGACAACATACAGCCAAAACAAGTA